TACCTTCCTCTTTCCCTAAAAATCAATAACAAGATCTTTCCAAAAAATGAAAAGAAAAAAGTCCGTAGTCCTATTTGTAACAGACTGTTGCTCTCCAGTCATCTTATCAATAAAAGCGGGAACCATAAAACTCACCCCAGTGTTCGCGGGAGTGTAAATGGGACCAACTCCTGCAGCGTGGGCAGCACACAGTGGGCACTCGGTTATTAGCGACTAATATCATGATCGTAAATGCAGCCACCAGCCGCCTTTCACAGCGGCGGACAAAGATGTGAATGTTTAGACCTTTCCTGGAGACGCTACAGCTAAGCCGCGAGGGCAGGCACGGTGTCCGCCTTCCCCACAGCCGTGTTCTGAGGCGCTGCACACGCATAGACCACTTGTAGCGTCAGTGGCCGACGTCAGGTTTCGCTCCCCCGAGGGCCCTACGCCGGGCGGGGCGTACCTTCGTCCTTCATGTTGCGGTCTATCTGGGGCCCGGCGTTCCTCTCCCGGAACTGGATGCCCTGCAGGTGCCTCTGCAGAGCCTCCTGGATCACCTCGAACAGCGGCTGGTCCTGTGGGGACACAGGCGTCGCCGCGGGTTACACGTGCCCTTTTCTTATCTCCCCTCCGCCCCCCAGCCCTGCAACTCCAGTCTTGTGAACACATCTACGTTCCTTTTGGGGGAGAAATGGGGATGAGGGGTGGGACTGGGGAGAGAGGCAGCTCCGTACGCCGAATAGTACAGTCTACCTTTGGCACGTGAATGTTTAACACCAGTGCCCGGGTGCACAGATTCGGGCACCACGAAAGGAAATTAATTAAGTGGCCGGTGGGGTAGGACTGGGCCAGACGGGCCGGACACGTCCTGGAGCCAACCTCCCATGTTCCCTCCCCGGCCGGCAGCACCACGGCTCGAAGGGTGTCTGTAGAGGGAGCAGGGGGCCCTCCACCTGGCCTGCGGGGATCAGGCCGAAACCAGCAGTCCGACATCCCCCGAGGGGTCCTGGATTGCGAGAGGGCGGTTCTCGGGTGACGCATCCCGGAATCGGGTTCCCTCCTCTCTGGTTCCGGGTGCATCACCCGAGAACCACAGCTACCAAGTCACTGCAGCTCGGCAGCCCCTGCATTGAGCGCCTGCCCCCTGATGGTCAGTGCGCATCATAGCTACCGGTCGGACGGTTTTATATATATATATATATATACTGTAATTCGACTCCTGAAGTCTGGGCCATGGACTCACTGACACTTTGGCTGACACATGGAAAGGAATCCTGGGAGCTTGTATGGTTTCTACTAGAGAGAACTGTTCAGAGAGTAAGTGAGCTAGCTGACTGTACAGAAAGTGAAACTCCGCTTGGCCGGCGTGGCTCAGTGGTTGAGTGCCGACCCCGGAACCAAGAGGTTGCTGGTTCAATTCCCGGTCAGGGCACATGCCCAGGGTTGTGGGCTCAATCCCCAGTGAAGGGTGTGCAGGAGGCAGCCGATAGATGAAGTTCCTGTCTATCACTCTCCCTTCCCCTCTCTCTAATAGTCAATTAAAAAATATATTTAAAAAGAAAGATAAACTCTGAACTCCTCGGACTGGTAGGCAAGGCCCTCCCAGCCTGGCTCACCTATCCACAGGCTCTCACGACCCTCGGGGCCCCACAAAACACCACACAGGGCTGCGTGGAACACCCTGCCCGGGCTTCGCTCCAG